ACTGGCGAGAAATTGATTTGAAATGCGCTTAAGATTTACACTTAGCCGTCATCCTTATGGTCAGAGGATGATATTTGTCATTATTACTGTTGAACTGTACAAGGAAAAAATTCCGTATGTCTGTTTTTAGTGGTTTACAAATCGAACGTTGTTTTTATTGCTAATGTTTCACAGCAAAGCAACAGAATGCATCACATAGGAAATCAAGATTGTTGAGGCAAGCTACTTCCTCACCTTCGGCAGGAACGAACGAACAAATATAGGTAACTTTATGACCATAATTTACTGATTTGTACGGAAGGCTAGGTGGCTGACGTTTTTGATTTGCGTCCAAAGTCACACACGACAATTCTTAATAGCGGGAGTACGAGTCTCTTGAAAATGGCGATTCCAGCTATTGCCGTGAGTACGTATAGCCCCACTTCCATACCGACTGCTAGAGCTTCTGTCCAACCGTTTATTCCATTAATCCAATTAGACGGATTAAGGTATTTGAGAAAGTTACTGGTGAAGTGCTGATTGCAGTCTTTGCAATCTCCTTTTTGTTGAACCCATCTGTAAGGAACGTTGGCAGTTTCTAACGGAGTCGATTCATAGCTTATCCACCTGCATTTGACTGTCTGAACTTGGTAAGGATGCATGCAGAGCCATCGTGCTGAGGCTATGTGGTTTTGAACGGGTAGAAGCACGGTGTGATTTTGCACCGTTCCGTTGCCGACGTGGGTGCTGAATACCAAGTCGGTTTCTTCCTCAGCATCCGTTTTGTAGAGGTTGCCGATGATCGTCCCCTGTACGTTGAACATGGTCAGGTTGATGTACGTGTTTGAATGCCGGTCGGTGATCACCGTTGCCCTAAAGTCAGAGATCGACGGACCGTGATGATGGAAGGTAACATTCGCACTCATGTTCAGTTGCAGGTCCAGGAAGACGGCCAGCGACAGCGAGTGGTGTAGTACCAGATATCTCTCAGGCTCTGGCGACGTTGACTGCTGCAGTGGTATGTCGATTTTCTTGATCCATTTTTCGGTTTCCTCAACCGCGTAGCCAAGATGAACGCGATCATCGACCATGGCGTCCTCTGCACCGTCTTGCACATAGAACTCTGCGTTGTAGCTGTCACTGTATATCTGTACCTGACAGTCTTTGGTTTGCACAAAATGAGCCGCCTGTATTTTCATACGCCCCTTCCGAATGTACCACTGATTATCCCGCTTTCGAAACCAGCCCAGTTTATTCAGGTTCCACTCGTACTGCCGGTTTATTGGAATGCCGGTACGCAGCGTTACGGCTGTCGCGTTGTACTCATAAAAGTACATCCCTTCTTGCAGCTGCCACTGCGGCGTGATGCCGTTTACCACAAAGCTCATTCTTTCTTCCGGATATTCAGCTATTTGCTTCTGATTGACGATCATCTGAAATGCGATCGATTAGACGACAAATCATGTCTGAAATATCAGAGTCTGATTTTCTTCTATGACATGAAGGCAGCTTCAGTTGACAGAACAAGAAACCTAGCTTATTGAGATGTTTTGACAGCAATGAAAAACGTATGTATAATGCTGTTAAAAAAATTATCTTAATTTTACATAGCGATGTTTAGACTGAGCCCAAGATTCGATGCATAAAGATACAGACATAACTGGTTGTATTCAGTCGTTGGTTCCCAGCCAGTGGTACAGCATTTATCGATGCGATACATTAATTTTAACGAGAAACTTTGTTTCATTCAGATTATGGCCAAAACTACGTCAGATGGGATATAGTTTAATTGATCGTCATTCTTTGTGTTCTACAGTAACGTTTCATTATTTCATTTCATTTGATACTAGACCGAGATGGTACTCAATCCTCAGTCCTATAAGTTTGTAACTGGAGTGTCCCTCTCCTGGTCAAACAGACTGTCAATGTTCAAGACAGAATTTCACGACTGTCGTAACAGCTCAAGGGTGCACATACAGTTGAACGCTTTACGACACGATTCCGTGCCTTGATTTTTCCTGCTTTTTTGAGACGGGGACGACGCTGACGTATTATTACAAAATGCAATCATAATCTTACGCTGTTTGTCTTAATAGAATGTCGCAGGTTTGGGATGTCGGCTGCACTTCCGTCAATTTATTAAAAACGCCAATTACTAGGTCGTAGCAAGAACAGTTCCCTTCTGAATTCGAATCAACCTTTACCTGATTTATCCATATTGTCAACAAACCTCCTGTTGAACACCAGCCGTGTTTCGGTTTCCACATTAGAAGCTGGGGGGTTGGAGGGTGGCGGTGGAGTGAAGGGCTGTGCTGAGGCAACGAAACCATCTGACTAAGACGGCCACCTCTTTTTTGTAATCTTCAGATTTTCTGAGGACACCTATACTCGAAAGGGACTAAAATCATTATAATGTAAAATCACGTAATTCGTTGATGTGCTGCCGCTGGGGACGACAGGACGAAGATAGCTAAAATGGTCAAAGTCCCCATCACTTCGTTCCATCCACTCGCAGATAGGCTGTAACGGAGCAGTGAATCATATTTTTCGATTTCTGAACGCAGAGGAAGATGTCGAATTTGTCTTATATATCGAAATCAACAGGAGAAAATATCTGTATTCCTACATTACTCGTTAGGACTATATCAGCTATTTATATTTAGGTTAGCAAGATACCAGTCAAGTGTAGTGAACTGCGTATTCTCTGTAGAACTAGATCCTCGTCGATGCTCAGGTCAGCGTTATTTCGAAGAAAAACATCGATAACAGTGTTGAATAGCAGAGGCAAAATTAGGACTAACTGGAGGTCTTCGTAATTATCGTCAGATCATTCTGATAGTCATGCTTCGACCTCAGTAGCAAACAGAGTTCCAGCATATGTCCTTTCAAAATGAATACGAAGCGCTCAAGTATTCTCATGGCATTTTAAAACTTTTACATCATCGGATGATGCTGGTGTCGGTTCGGTGCAGGAACTTTCATTTACCACATATTCCTGAACAGATATTACTTGCCCGGCTTTCCCAACCGACCGGCAAAAGACCCATTGGACCACTAGGAACAGCTATTGGCAAGAGTATAGGACGCAGCGTTAGACCGGGGTTATCTTCTGCCAAAGCTGAAACGCTGGCACAAGATCAAGAACGTTGAAAACGCTGACGTGTCTGCATCGTCGATCCGAATGGATAAACAGTCATCGAAACTGACTATATTTATCATCAGTCTTTGCTGGATTAAGGCCTCTCAAAGACACTACCATGAACTTCTGCTTTCTGTGATTTGTATCCATTTTGATCGAACCAATTTGTGTAGCTCCTCCTACCGTCGATCTAGAGGTATTGCTACGAGACGTTTACTCTTTTGAAACCCAGTCTAACGTCTCTCTGGTCAAGCGATTGTCCGTCTGTGAGTCTTTCTACAGTATATCCTGTTCATTGCCACGTTAACATCTTCCCTCAAGCAATAGCATCGCAAACTCATGTTTCTGCTCTTGTTATTCCAAACATACATCTTCCATTGTTGCATTGTATAGTCGGCACTTTACGAATAACTTTCAGGCTTACGGTCTATGTTTTGCGCTTGTAGGATAGCACTGGGAGCACACACTGATCAAATACTGTCTTTTTCAAGCAAAAGAGCAATTTTTCGGATGGAGGCATTTTCAGTCTTCCGAAAGTGCTCCAAGCCAGTCGTATTCTTCTTTTGATTTCTCAGAGTCGATTCGCAGCTGCAGAGGTTGACTCTCCCAAATGAACATAATTTTGCATCTCCTCAAGCCTAAATCCATGGATTTAAACAGGTTGCAGGGTCGCGTTTTCTTGAACTTGACTTGAGTCTTCTTCAGGTTCATTGTAAGTCTCACTTTGATGCTGGCGTCATCCAGCTTTTAGATTCTGCTATGGAGTTCTTCTGATGACACTGAGAGGATTAATTTTTTTGATATATCGTTCGTAAGCCCTTAAAAAGTGCCCTTTTTTGAGGTCCGAGTTTCCCAACCATATATCTTAGAAACCTCCCTTGAAATGCAGTGAATGATTTCGACGATATTACATCTTTCTGCTGAACATCTTTTTTCGAGCTTGAACTTGCTTGCGCTTTGGTAAAGCTTCAAATTAGCATTTGCATTCTTACAAATCGTGGCGATGGTATTAATATTTTTTGACTCTTTGGTTCCTAATAACCAGGAACCCAGTAGTGAAAAGATGTTGCTTTTCTGGGTTATATCCAAAGCTAAGTCACACAACGATGGCGTGAACTCTCATACTTATATTCTGCAAAGTGCTACTCATTAATATACCTCGGAACGATTAAGGGCCATTGATCCAAGCAGTGATAAGGCTGGGGATATTCGAACAACACTTGTGATAAAAACTGATATAAAGAAGGGATTTCCATGAAACTGATGGAAGCGAGATTCTCACCATAAAATTGGCCAGGCGGGATGCTTGAAAAGTTCATCCATTGTAACCTTGTTGAAATCAACGATTATGCATTCTTACTGTAGAATATGATAGTCATAGTCGGACAGTAATTGTTCCTCACCTGCGAAGTCAAGAAACCCCGGCGTTTTCCAATATTTATCTAAGAAAATTGCGACATCGTACTGCCTGTCTGCGATGCATGAATCAGGTAACGGTGAGTCTGACGGCCCACTGATTGAGCAATATTTTGTACAGATATCCGGCTAAATCTACGTTGTATTGCGCTTGAAGTGGTAAAGCGGTCATATGATATGAAAATATGTATGGTCGTAATGGCTGACTGCCATAAACCTACCGGTTGATTAAGATCGTCGTCGCCGGCTCTAAAGCCTCCTCATAGAGTCTGCAACATGACGGGCGAAGTGTAAATGACATCATTACAAT